GTGTGTGTGTGTGTGTGTGTGTGTGTGTGTGTGTGTGTGTGTGTGTGTGTGTGTGTGTGTGATCAGGGTAGGGTGGCTTTTTTTTTTTTATATTATAATATTTTTTTATTTAATTAAAATAAATATTATCCTATGTCCCCCCTCCCTTCTTACCTTTACTGGGGAGGAGGGGGGACATATTTTCATCCCTGGTGGTCCCAGTGGTGATTCCCTGGTGGTCCCAGTGGTTACAGTGAACTCTAGCCCGCGCTCCCGGGCTAGAGTTCACTCTCGCGAGATTTGGAGTGTTGCCGTGGTAACCACGGCAACGCTCCAAATCTCGCGAGAGGAGGACCCGGAGGAGCTGCAGACTGAGCTCCCGGGTCCTCCCTCTCCCTCCCCTGCCGGCTGTCAGCACAGTGCCTGCGGACCGGGGAGGGAGATCTCTGATCTCCCCTCCGGTCCGCAGGCACATTGCAGGGCTAGCACCTGCATGTGCTGGAAGGGGAGGGAGAGGGAGACCGGCGGATTTCTCCGGGGGGGCAATTGCCCCGTTGCCCCCCCCTGGATCCGCCAGTGCTCCTGCCGCAATGCAGAGAACAGACTCTGGGGAGATAGCGCAGCTAAGCGGACAAGGGCACATGTAGGAGTGTGGGGATAGATGCATGGGATTGGATGGGTAATGTGTGTGGGAGGGGTTAGGTTCAATATAGGTTAGTGTGGGGGAGGTCTTACCTCAGTGCCACTTGGGATTCGGGCCAGCAAACAGCTTCCTGTCCTCCTGCTCCTGTTTGCCTGGGCCTTTAGTCTTCACAGCTTGAGGGATGGAGGTTGAGGCGATCCTGTCGTCCCTCAGGGCTGCTGCTGCGCTGGATGGTGGCCGGCAACTAAGGGAGCAATTCCAGATCGTTACTGGAGGTATGGCTGCCGGTGTGGGCACCCCCCGTGGCCTACCCTCCCCCTGGGGCACCCCCTGCGGTCTCCCCTGCTGCCTCCCATGCGGCCCCTGCCCCTGCGGGCCGCACCAGCACTGGCAGGCGTTCCCGTCCGCCTGCCAGGCTCTCTCCTGATAACACCCCTCGGGCCCGGTTGAGGAGCAGGAGCCCGGGCCCGAGGCATCGCCGGGACCGCGTGGCTGGGGCTCCGGACACGCGGCCTGGGTCCAGTGGCCGGGAGTTGCGGCCTTCCGCGGCTGCACATGCGGTGCAGCCTGCCCCCTCAAGGCCTGAGGTGAGGCCTTCATCTGCCGCGTGCCCTGCCGGTTCCCCTCCCTCCCGCCCCGGCCGCCAGCATGGGAACGCGGTCCGGGGGCGGTGGGAGGCCTGCAGCTACCTCCGGGCGGCGGGCGGCCGGCAACATTCCAGATCCCCCCGCGGCCGGCGGGGGCGTGGGGCTGCCGCTGGGGCCCCGGTGGTGAGTGGGTGCGCGCAGTACCGCCGCTGGGGGTGCGGGGGGGGTCCCCTTGTATGTCGGGAGCCTCCTCTGGCAGTGAGGAAGGCTCCCGGTATTCTCCCTCCCCTGTCCCCTCCCCCTCCCAGGTTCGTTCCGCGAGGGGGTCCCCTGGGGGGCCCAACTTCCCACTGAGAGGGTCCCCCTCACGTTTCTCTGGCCTCCTCTTCCCCCCTCCCTCCCCCTCTCTCTTCTGTGGGTTCCCCCCCCCTTCTTCCTTCTTCCCTGCCCCCCCTGTGTCTGTCTCTCCTTCCCCTGGGGGCTACCCTACTCTATCTGGGCCCCCTCTGTTCTCCACCCCCCTCTTACCTTGTCTGGGCCCCCTCCCCCCCTTGCAGGTCACTTACCTCGGCCATCTCCTCTGGGGCATGGGCTCATGTCCTCTTCGCTGCTCTCTCCTCAGGATACTGCTGCAGTTCGTGGATCCAGCCAGCAGGTGGCGCCTGGAACACAGCTAATCTCTTCTCTGGATGCTGGAACCCAATTTTCAGTGCCTCAGTCTTCCGTGAATGCAGCACAGGGTTTGGATCGCCAAGCTGCCGCCGGTGAGTACAATGTTCCCTCCTCTATTGCCGCTTCAGGTCTCGGGTTGGGGGGGTTTCTTTCGGGTCTTCGAGGTTTGTTAGATCAATGGGAACAGGGGGCGGCGGGAAAAGGGGACACCTCTGTAGATAGTCCCCCGCGCAGTTTCCCCCCGCAGTTCAGGTTCCCCCTCCTCCCAGGCCCCTTTCAGTAGTGGGTAGTGGTTCGTTGCCCCTGGGACCCACGGGGGATGGTGTTTGTGCGCCCGTGGGTAGGCGCAGCCTATATGTGCTGGTCTGGCCCTCTGGGTCTGCACTTAAAGCAGGAAACAAGGGAAAAAATTTGGAAGGGTGAGTTCGTCAAGATATTTTCTCTCCTGCCGCTGGAGGAAGCTCCTCCCGCGACAGAAAAAGACAGTAAGGAGTAGGAAAAAGACAAGGAGAAATACCGCTATCGGAAAATTCCCAAAAGTTTGGGAATTGGATTCGGGCGTTCTCCATCCTGGCCAGCGTGGTGTGGGGGAAAGCTCCCCAGAAGTGTTCCGCGTTGTTCTGTTATCAGGACACGATCTGGAACGCCTGTCGAACCTATGGGGGGCTGGGGTGGTGGAGGTACGACGAGCAGTTCCCGCAGCGGCTGGCAGTGCGTCCTTCGTTGTCTTGGGACCAGATGGACATTGGTCTCTGGCTCGCAATTATGACCCGTCCAGCCCCTCAGCAGGGCGCGGTTTCGTCCTGGGGGTCCTCGTGCCGGTTTAAGCAAGAGTGCTCCAGCTGCAGCGGGGCTCATCCCGCCTCTTGCTGTTTCAAGCGTGGGAAAACGGGCGAAAAAGGGGACATGAAGATTAAGGGCGACGACACCGGTGCTCGTAAACGCGATGCGCCCGTGGCTCGACCTTTATAGGAACCGGGCGGCAGCGCGGATCCTAGTGGAAGGGTTTGAGCAGGGTTTCTGGATCTCCTTTTCGGAGCGCCCTCCACAGCACTCTGTTCGGAACCTCAGGTCCGTGCTGGAATTTCCTCATGTGGTTCGGGAAAAACTGGGGAAGGAGGTCTCCTTGGGCCGGATGGCCGGCCCGTTTTCCTTCCCACCCATGCCTAACTTACGGGTTTCTCCTTTGGGCGTGGTGCCTAAGAAGGAACCCGGTAAGTTTCGACTAATTCACCATTTGTCTTACCCCCGGGGGGGTTCAGTGAATGATGACATCTCGGCGGAGCTTTGCAGGGTTTCCTACACCTCCTTCGATGCTGCAGTTCGCATGGTGAGGGCTGCTGGCCCCGGGGCGCTGCTAGCAAAGGCGGACGTGGAATCTGCTTTTCGGTTGCTTCCAGTGCATCCGGAGTGCCATCATTTACTGGGCTGTGCTTTTGAGGGCCAGCTCTTTGTGGATATGTGCCTACCTATGGGTTGCTCTCTGTCATGTTTCTATTTTGAGTGCTCTAGCACTTTTCTAGACTGGGTGGTGCGGAGGGAAGCGGGGGTCTCTTCCCTTCTGCATTACCTAGATGACTTCTTGTGCATAGGGCCGGCGGAGTCACACATCTGTGCCCTCTTGTTGCGGGTTCTCGGGGAGGTGTTTCAGCGTTTTGGTGTTCCGTTGGCTGATGACAAGACGGTGGGTCTGGTCACGTGCCTTAGTTTCCTGGGCATTGAAATCGATTCGGTAGCCGGGGAATGTCGGTTACCCCAGGACAAGGTCCTGGACCTGCACCTAGTGGTTTCGCAGGCTCCAGGGCGGCGGAAGATCCAGCTGCGTGGCCTGCAATCTCTGCTAGGAAAATTCAATTTCGCTTGCAGGATTTTGCCCATGGGGCGTATCTTTAACAGGCGCTTGGCTGCGGCGACATCTGGGGTCATTCGCCCGCAGCACTTTATCCTGCTAACGCGCCCCTTGCGGGTTGATTTGGCTGTCTGGGATTCCTTTTTGGCCTCATATAATGGGAGGTCGTACTGGCAGGCCCCGGAGGTTTCTAATGCGGACCTACATCTGTTTACAGATGCGGCTGGCTCAGCCGGTTTTGGGGTCATCCTGGGCTCCAAATGGTGCGCTGACTCGTGGCCGGAGTCCTGGCACACAGCAGGGCTCACTCGGAACTTGGCGTTTCTGGAGTTCTTTCCTATTCTGGTAGCGTTGGAGGTATGGGGTTCCTTGCTAGGGGACAGACGGGTGGTTTTCCATTGCGATAACTTGGGGGAGGTTCAGGCCATTAACCAACAGTCGGCTTCCTCCCCCCCGTGGTTCACTTGCTGCGGCGCCTAGTTTTGCACTGTCTGGAGCTGAATGTGTA